AGGGCTTTCCATCATTTGGAGACTGGATAAAGAAGATGTGGTTTTTCTATAAAATAGAATACTACTCAGCCACAAAGCTTGAGAAATTAGATTCATTCATAGGAAAATGGATACATATTGAGGATATACTCCTAAGTGAAATAAATAAGTCACACATGTGTAAATACCAAATAGTTTCTCTGGTGTGAAAAACTATAATAGTGCATAAGATCCTAATGATATAATTGATAACATGAAATAGGAAGAAATGGGCTAAAGGTGTAGGGAAAGTGGGAAGGGTAGGGGAAAGGTAATAAGGGAATAGGAAAAATATGATAAAATGAAAAAATGGAAATAAAGTGTTTGTAAATGGGGAAGGGAGGAGGAGTTGAAGGGAGGGCAGGGATAAGGGGAAAAAATGAGAACCAAGACATGTCGTGTAAAGGTACAAGACCCCAATGATGAATGTAACTGTACTGTGTACCTAAAGTGTACCAATAAACTCAATGAGAAAAAAAAGTTGTAAGGGCTTTAAACATAAATAATGCAAGGCAAAGAATTGATAATGGGCACACATAATCCAGGCAGTAGGTGGACGAGGAAAATAAAATGATAGAAAGCCACTTCCAAAGACACAAAATTGAAAAGACATTATGAAAAACACAGTGAAGTGTTTTGCAAGTAAAATACTTTGGATATAAAAATAAGGTAAGCAAAACAGAATGAAAGCAAAGGCATTACTAAAACAAAGGGCTTAGTGGAACAATTATAGATATGAAAAATAGATAAAAGAGATCACTGAGAGACAAAATCTTTTTCTCCAAAGAAGAAACCCAGACAAATGGGGCACAGCGAAGAAAAGTAGTTAAAATTTGAGAAAACAGTAATAAAATGCCTTAGGACTTCGAACCACATGCTACAAGGGTATGCAGGAAAAAAAATGATGCCTAGTAATTAAGGAATAGAAAAGTAACAAATTTACAAAATAAAAGACCACTTTTGCAAGAGTACCCAGATCATTATAGGCTTTTTACTGAGCTGAAAACATTCTTCTTGAAAAGCCTAAAAGAATTTGCAGTGGTCTTTCAGAAATATAAATTGTATTATTCTGCTCAAACATCTCAGTAGCTTTCCACCGCAAATAGAACAAAATTATTTTAAGGCTTGATATTGGTATCTGCTTCCTGTCAGTGCAGTCTGGCTGCATTTGCACCCTTGCTGTCCCTTAATATGCTGCTACTGCCCCGGCCCAGGTCTTCTACATTTGCTTTCCCTTTGTCTGTCTGGAATACTCTACGTAATTCTCATCCTTCAGCTCTTAAGTCAAACAACAATTTCCCTGCCCCTTTATCTTGTTTAAAGTAGTGTTTCCTTTCATAATTAATCCATTGTATCAGCTTTGGTCTCTTTTTAGTCTCTTTCCATTAAACTCTAAGTCCAGCCAGGCATGGTGGTACATGTGTGTAATGTCAGCACTTGGGGGCTGACTCAGGAGGATAGCAAGTGTGAGCCCAACCTGGGCAGTTTAGTGACTTAGTAAGATCCTGTCTCAAAATAAATAAAAATAAAGAAGGCTTGAAAAGGAAGAGAAGAAAAAGCTGGAAAACGTAGCTGAGAGTGAAAACTTGCGGTTCAATCCTCAGTAACACAAACACACCCACAAATAAACATCTATCCATCCATCCATATGAAAGGAGACCAATTGACCATATTTTTAAATGCCTAAACAACAGAGTGTTTGGATGAACAATGCTTTAAGGATTTTAGTCAATTGCAAACAAGATCTGTAGCTGAGCAGAGTGGCACACACCGGTTATCTCAGCACTGGTAAAAACGGAGGCAGAAAGGTCCTGAGTCGAAGGCTAGCCTGAGCATAAACTGTGTCAAGACAACAAAAAAGGCGAAACTTTATATCTTAAAACCAGAGTAGGGTTGATATGCTCTCTTACAAGAATATTCCTAGGCAGCTGAGCCTTCATCTTCTACCTGATTTATAACCTACACCAGTCATCACCATACAATATTCATGGATGACGAGAGGCTGATTTCAGGCCCTGCTCGTAGGATTGTTGGGGCTTGAAATTTGTAAGGCAGGCAGAAAGCTGGAAATTCTGCCAGGCACTCAGGTCACAGTGTGAAGGCAGTGTTTCTTTTTCTCTTTGGGGCTCCTGCAGTCTTTTATGCTTAAGGCCTTCCACTGTTTGCATGAGGCCCAGCCCCTCTCTGGAGGCTGCTCTACTCCTCTCAGTCTGACCAAAGTATTCAGCACATGTGAAAAACAAAATCTCCACAGCAGCATCAGGACTGGTATTTGACTAAACAACCGGACAGTATGGAGACCCACGTTGACAAATTAGCCACCACAGAAGCATTTGTTGCTTTTTCAAGATTTGCTTTTTTAGTTCTGTAACAGTACATTCCATGCATTTCTCTTTACATGCACATTTCCTCTGTTCCTACACCCAGTCATTAATCCATGTCATTTTCCCTCTAAAATTATGTTCTTTCCTTCTCAATAAATAACCTCACGCCTTCTAACTGAGGACTGCAGACTCCTGAATAATACATTCATATGAGGACTATTTTTTCTGCACCCTGATCTCATTATGTTTGATGGGGCCAGGGGCTTTAGCTCAGAGGTTCTGCTGCCTGCCTTGCAAGTGCAAGGACTCCAGTCCAATCCCAAAACAAACCAACAAACAAACACAACAGAAAACAAAGAATCTCATTATGTTTGATGATCTCTCTCGGATAATTATGAGTTCAGGATGCACTGCCTGAAGGTCATCAACGCCACATATGCTGTGGGGAAATTGGCAACCGTGACTGCATGTCTCTCATTCTAGTTAGATCAGGTGATCAAGCAAAGCAGCAGCAGAATGTTGGAACCATGGTGACATCACAGAATTACACCTCAGTGATTCTTATTCTATGTTCTTTGGCTTCATCTGATCTCTGTACAACAGATAAGAGAAATGGCATAACTTTAAAGAAATGTTCAAGTCATGTGATATATATCTTGCTAAACTGAGCCAAGGAATCTAGTTTCGAATGGGCAAAAAGGCCAAAAAAGAGTTTTGTGTTGAAGCACAGAGTTGCGTTTCTAAAGGAAAATCAAAATCATGCACACAGAAGAACCTAAAGCAAATTAAAAATAATATAAAGTGAGTATTAGTTAATGTTAAAATCCAAATATGTTTCTTTTACCTTGAAATGTATGTGCAGTTTTGTAACTCCTGCATTCAAGAGTACATTGGTTTTTTTACGGATTATTTGTGCTTATTGAATACCATGTAAAACCAACCATCTTCTGCATGTGTCTGGGAGGTCATGTAAAAAAACTGAAAATTTACTCTTCTGAAGACTGTCTTCTGAGCCTCTAGTCTTCTGAGTGGCCCTCATCCTTTTTGTCCGTTATTTTATCCTGGCTCCTTGAGATGTATTCAGCTAGTCCCTGAGGCTTTAGCAAGTCCTTCAGACTCTGGATGCCTTCCCTGCGTCAGCCTGTAACCTGAAGGCCTTATTCTGTGCAAAGAGATTTATCAAAGCCATCAGGTCCCAAAGGTCAAAGCTAACGGGCACCCAAAGAGCTCTGAGTTACTAAGGAAATAACCAAGTCAAAGACAAGCAGAGCTGCCCTGTGCTTTTTAGAGGCACTGCCCCTCTGTTGTGTGAAGCTCCTTTGTGTTTTGTGGGGAGTCTTTCTCACATTCTTGCCCATTTAGACCTTTAGGGAACTTTTTTTTTGTTTTGTTTTGTTACCAGGGATTGAACTCAGGTCTTTGCGCCTGCAAGGCAGGCCTCTAGGGAACTTTTAATTACTGAATCCAACAGTCCTGGAAATAAGGACATTTCTCCCTGAAGCCCACAGGCCTGGAATAAGGACATTTTTCCTGTTCTTCTTCAGTGGCAGCTGGTCATAGCTACCTGCCTGGCGCTCACACAGGAGGGACAGTGGTTTCAAGTCCAGCTCACTGTTTCACACTGTCATTTCCTTTGCTGGTAGCTCTAACCCCATGGATCTCCACCCTGAAGCCAGAATTGACTCTTATCTGGAGTTTCCTCCACTTCCGGGCCCAGTCCCCTAAAAGGAGCTTTCAAATATATTTGCCCCTCTGTATCTGTGATTTCTACCCCTGGGATTCAACTACATACAGATCAAAAATATTCAGAAAAAAACAACTGTACAAGCTTTTTTCTTTGTCATTGCCCCCTAAGCAATGCAGTATAACAACTATTCCCGTGGCATTTATATCATATTCAGTATTATAAGTGATGTAGAGATGATCTGCAGGATACGGGGGGATGTGCTTAGATTACAAGCAAATACTCCACCATTGGATCTTGGCCTTGAGCAGTGATTTGAGTACCTTAGGGATCAGGGGATGTCCTAGAATCAGTTTCCCACAGATACAGAGGTACACCTATAATTCATTTACCTTTCTTTGCTTTCTTCTTTCTTTTCACTTATTAAAATCTATGAGGTTGATACCAGAAAGATTTTTAAAAATTATTTTTTGTTTTTTGTTTTTTTTTTTTAAACTGAGAGATGCTTATTCGGTGAAGTATCACCTGTGAGTGACTTTTGGAAACCCCAAACCTTCTTCAAAAAACATACTCTATGGCTTGTGTGTTGTACATATAATCAATAAATATAAGACAACTGTTATGATTTCAATCCCCTTTTTCCTTCTACTCTAGTTGCTTTAATGCAGACATCTGTTTATGAATTCCGTCCTAACTTTTCCTGGTTTTGTTATTAGAATGTTCATAATTGATTGGTATTGTACTTCAGTGTTTGGGAAGGTGCCCACACTTGTGTCTATTCTAGCCTTCAGAAAATGATCAAGTTGAGAAAATAAGAGCTTTCCAAATGTGAACTCAATATTTTTTCTTTTGTTAAATTGTTCACATTAAGGAAAGTGATTTGCCATTTTAAAAATCCCACTGTGATACTTATTCTCTTCGTACCAGTTTTTATTCATTTTTCTCTAACGTCTCATTTGTATGAATTTCTGTAGAAGATTGCTGGACACCGAAGATGAGCTCAGTGACATTCAGACTGACTCAGTCCCATCAGAAGTCCGGGACTGGCTGGCTTCTACCTTTACACGGAAAATGGGGATGACAAAAAAGAAGCCAGAGGAGAAACCTAAATTTCGAAGCATTGTGCATGCCGTCCAAGCTGGAATTTTTGTGGAAAGGTAGGCTCATTTGTCGGTATCTTCAGACAGAAAAATCCAAAAGGTAGCAAATATATCATTATATTAAAGTTATAAGAGGCCTCTAATTTTACTCATGGAGGAAAACTACAACTGTAAATATGACTAGAATGAACAGATTTAGAGCTTTATGATAAACTTTCCTATAGTAAAAATACCTTATCCTGGGTGTATCATTTTTATTTATATTAAGCTGACTTGAAGACTGAAAACAAAGGCATTATTTGAACAACTTCTCAAATGATTGGTTGTGAGGAACTGTTTAAAAAGTTCTACCACCTTCATATGTTATATGACTAATTTTACCTGAATAAAATGTAATATCAATAAAATAAATTCTACATTGTCCAACTCCAGCAGGCTTTTTTTCTGCCCTAAGGATCTTTTATTTATGGAAGGAAATTTCTTTTATTTTCATCTTTGGAAAGATTATTTATTTTATATTTCTGTTACTGGAGTAAGAGGTATCCAATGGCTCCTAGACCATGGAATCTAATCATGAGCATTTCCAATGTGAAACACATTTTAATAGGACCCAAGTCTGAATTCTTTTAACTTTTAAAAGCACAATTTATTTTTCTTTCTAGGAAACAAGATATTTCAGAACTAAAACTAAAAATAATACCCCAAATAAATATGCTTGACAAAGCTGAAAAGTAGTTATAAAAACCTCTTAGATTAAAATAATTGTTATATATAAACATTATTTTAAAATTTAAAAACTAAGGAAAGTGAGAAACAGATTTTTTTTCAAAATGTGCTTCAAATTTAAAGGAGACTACAGTTTAAAAAAAAAATATATATATATATATATTTGTGCCCATTATTTCCAATACACTTTACAAACTTTAATTTTACTCTGTTACAGAATAATTGGATGGACCCTTGGATTTTTAAAAATTTAAATAAGAATGCATTACATGAAGAATAATACTATGCATTTTTTTTAAAAAATTGAGTTTATTGGTACATTTTAGGTATACAGTACAGTTACATTCATCATTTGGATCTTGTACCTTTATACAACATGTCTTGGTTCTCATTTTTTCCCCCTTGTCCCTGCCCTCCCTTCACCCATATTATGCAGTTTTTAAAGATATTTTATTACTGTAGCACATGAAGCTTCTAATACCTGAAATGTAGCTATATCTTCCAAAATAACATCTTCTGAGCAATTGTTCAAATTACTTTTCAAATTTCTTAACTATATGGAATTGGCTTAAATAAAAGAACCTTACAAACAGTGTGATTAACTTGGTGATCTGACCCATTCTCCTTGGTACATCTTGTTCCCATTTTACCACTGGGACCAGATATTTGAGGCAAGGAGGAAGGGAGGCAGGGCTGAGAAGAGAGAGTGTCTCTCACCATATACCTATTTTTTAAAACAACACAGACAAGTGTTAAAGTTATTTCCCATAGCACCAAATTTAAAATATCTACAGAGTATTTTTAAAAGTCAGTGAGAGAATCACAAATAAAAGAGCATGTTTGATTTGCTGAAGGAATATATGTTTTGTCTCCTTCATTTAAGAAAATATCACAGAACTAGGCAAACCAAAGAGAAATACAAACTCTGCATGAAAATCAAGTGAATTTGCATTTCCGCTCAAGGCAAGGGTAAGAAGAATTTGATAAAGAGTATTGACATTCCGGATCTCCACTGTTTTCATGTATTACCCCAAATAAATTTTATTTAATATGCTATAGGAATATAAAAATATGCCATAGTGATTAAATTAGTAAGCAACCTTAAAATTAATATCCTTATAGCATTTAGAAATGAAATCTATTTTATCACTGTTGGGTCTCCATTAGTGACATGTTTGTCCTGGATCTTCAAAAACAATTATCTCCAATCCTGAAAATGAGAAGGGTTCTGGAAGCTTTGTTGCTCCCTTTCCTGGTGCTTTCCTCTCAAAATTCAAATACCTCAGCAAGTCCTGTCAGTTCACCTGAATGGTCCTGAAACTACTACTTGTTTTCTGGCCCCCTAATCTAGGCCTCTATTATCTGACAGCAGAATATTTCCCGCTGGCTCACCTTTCCCTCACTTCTCTCCACACACCATTCGCGACAATATTGTAGCTTTATAAATTGGCTCCTGTCACCCTTAAAATCAAAGCCATCTGACGGCTTTCTGTTTCACTTGATAACTAGGCCTTGCCTATCCAGGCCCCAGTTAGTTTCTAGCAATCCTTGCCTGAACATTGATACTGGCCTACTTTCAATTCCAAGAACATTTCTAAACTCTTTCCTGTTTTGGAAATGGAAGAATCCTTCAGTTCTTTCTGTCAGAAATGATTCTTCCTGCCCTCATCATTGGCAGCCCCTTTCTATCATTCCAGAGGCCTTCCTCAGTCACTCTGAATATTCCAATCTCCTCTTTAACCAGTAAATCACCTTTGAAATATCGCCCCTTGGAATCGTGTTGTGTATCTTTTTAAAATCACTTCACATTAAAATAAACCACATGGAGTCAGTATGCTTTTCTTGGTCTCCGCTAAATAATCTGTCTCCTAGCACAGTGCCTGGTACGAGGCAGCAGGGCTTTTGTAAAGCTTTTTAAATTGTATTTTGTAATTAGAGTGAGAACTTCCAAAAATAATCCACCACATTTTCATGACTTACTTGTAGTTTCCCAAGAAATTCATTATTTCTCAGAAACGTTTTCCATATATCACCTATTTACAGAAGTAAATGGGTAACTAGATCAAAGGTTTCTCCAATTCCAGGGAAGTCATCTTCATTTTCATCTAATTTTATTTCTAATTGTTTAATTCTAGAATTCTATTCCTGATTATAGGATTAGAAAAGTATGACAATGGGGAAACTTCTCAAATAGCACAAGGCTTTTTGTCCCCAGGGAACCATGAAAAAAAAGTGATATGGAACCAAGGGAATTGGCTACAGAGCCATGAGAAAGCCGTAGTGAAAGCTTTTGTGTATTTTTTGTTTGTTTGTTTATGCCAGGCATGTATATCCTTTGCTTCTCACAAAAGCTAAAATTTCTCATTTTACAAATGAATAACATTAAATAGTGTCCTTAAGGTCACACAGCACGTGCCTGACATGATTCAAAGCATGTGGTCTCTTTGCTGCCCCACAATCACTGCTATGCCATGAAATCAAACTGATTTAATGTTAATTAGAGATTCTTGTTCCTCATTGGTTTTTATATTGAGCTATTCCCCCTTCATTACCCTCCCCATTACCCTGAATCACCATTTTTTGCAATAATGACTGGAAAAATAAGTAGAAAAGACTATTTGTTCCCTGTAAATCCTACCACTAAATGTCCATATTGGCAGTAATCATTTTCTCTGTCTTTCATGGTGTGATTACTGCTTTTGTTCTCTGCAGGCTTAGAATAATTATACATATCTCAGTTGAATAATGAATATAAGTACTTATTATTTATAAGCTTATCTGAAGATATAGATAAGTTTTTGTTATGCCTGCTCACTTGCTTCCAAAAATAATTACAGTCATTTTAAAATAAACATAAAACTAAATCAGGAAAGTAAGTAAAGTCCTTGGGATCAAATGAGAGGATAGGAAAGTTTAGGCTAGAGATATAAGTAAACACAATGTTGTAATTTTGAGTTTCCAAGAATTCAATATTTTCAAAGAAATCATGAGCTATGTAGTTCTTATTGTCTTTTTTTAAATGATAGCTTCTACATAGAAATTGAATATATGTCTCATGGATTTTTAATATATTGATTCTAAAGGTTAGTGTCTTCTAGTGATTTTATAAAATATGGAGAATATTTTCTACATGACTTTCCTATATTGAACATTCTTATTATTATATCTAATCAAATTATGGCATCACATAGACATTTGGGGGGAAGCAATTATTACAGTCCTATAGTCTAGGACTACACTAGCTTGATATAAAAATTAAGGTACATGATTAAGAATCAATTCAACTATTTCTTCCCAGGACTGTGTGGAGGAGTCATGAGTATCCTTCATGTTCCCAAATAGAAATTTGCTATTTTTGCACACTAGGATAGCTCTGGATTTTGTGCACCTATAAAGGCATGGAGGGTTTCTTATATTTGGTTTGTTTCATTTTGATTTCCCATAAGAAAATGGAAAAGTCAAACCATTTGCAAATTACTGATTAAAAAATATTTTTGTTACTGATTAATGTAGAAACAGAGAGAACTTTTTTTCTTTCTAAACAATCTTGCTTAAATTATACTGGCTGACAATTTGAACAAATGTAAGTAATTTTTGTCAGTATAATATCTCCCAGTATAGTAAAGCTGTACCAATATTAATGCTGCTACATATACCCTCCTATAATTTCCACTTTGCAAGAAATAGAAGTGAAAATCTTTAACGAAGGTATTTTCATGACATTCAACTTCCATTCTAAAAATTTTGGCACACAAATGGATGTAGAAGAAGATCCTGCTAGGACGGATATGGCGACCTATGAGAAAGTACAATCACTCTTTTTATTAGATGAAATTCAGGGGAAGACAGCCTTACCTGGAAATCAAATCAAATTAATTTGATAAAGTGGTGGTGAGTAAGCAATGTGTTATTAACATCTGTCACTTTGTAGACAGCTAAGTGGCGGCTGTGGTTATCATTGTTGCCATGAAAGGAATGATAAAAAATAAACAAGTCAAGAATAATCTTTTCCCTTATAGTTAATAGCTGCAGAATTTGAGCAAATGTTTACACTTAATGTTTATGCTTACACTTATTTTTTTTTCAGGATGTACAGGAAAAGCTATCACATGGTTGGTTTGGCATATCCAGCAGCTGTCATAGTAACATTAAAGGTGAAATGATCTCAATTATTTTTATTTTATGAAAGTTGTTCTGAAAAATCTTCAGAAAGCGGCTGGGGGAAAATGAGAGTATTTTGCTGCAACCTACATGTTGGAATGTAAAAACTGTTTTAACCATTTACAAAATAGAAAGTATGATCGGAAATTATGGTGATTAATTTTTTTTAAATGTATTTCAATAAAAGACACATGGCCATTGACTCCCCTCAAAATACTCCTTGCTTCTAACACATTAATCCCATTATTCTTTTGGGGAAAATAACTCTAAACTCTTTTAAGATGTCAGATGAGCTGAATGTGGTCTCATCATTGGGGGAAGTTAGGAGGTTTTATTGCAAATAAGGAGAAGCACAGCTCCTGGATTTCCAGGAGCGGGTGGCCACCAGGGCTCTTTTTCAGGGGTAAATTTATACAGCAAGACAGGTCAAACTACACTCATGCTATAGGATAATGAGAATAGTCACTTAGCTTATATTGATCCAGTAGGAGAGACAAGGCATGTAGCAAGTGTACATAGAAAGAACAAAGGCATTCTTGGAAGGGGATGTTCTGGTTGCCAATCTGTGTGTCTGATGCCCACCGAGGCTCACTGGACCAGGTGATGTTAATTACAGTATAATTTCAAGTTGCCGCATCTCCATGTTGAACCTCGGCGGTCTTCGGATTCATTTCCAGACACAGATTTTGTGTCTCCTCTTCGCTGATTTCCTCAAGGGCCCAGTCACTCTCTGACTCCATATTAGTTTCTAACTCAGCTATCATAATTCTTGCCACGTCCTGAAGCAGTTCTGATAGTCTTCTTTCATGAGTGCTTGTGATCTTCTGGTTGCCTTAATATCTTGAATCAATTAAAAATGTTTCCCTTTTATGATCATTTTGACTTTGGGGAACAGCAAGAAGTAGCATGGGCACAGATCTGGTGAATAAGGTGGATGAGGACCCACTGTAATGTTTTTGTTTTTTAGCGGCCCATCTTCCCCTGGGATGGCACTCAACAGCAGCATCCTCTGTCCTCACACCTCATAAAGACACTCACAAAGGAGGAGTTTGAAGCACGAGGGTGTGTTTGAAGGGGGATTCTTTTACTGTAACAATTTTTTAAATTTAAACATTCACCATAGATTCTGATTACACCTCCTACAAGGTGTTCCAAACTCTGTAGACTCACATGAGGATTTATTTACACTAACAGATTGTGTCAGTGGATACATACGCACATTTGCGTGTGTGCACGTAGTGTGTGGTTTTCTTCTTCAGGCTTGAAGCGAATCTTGAATTCTGTCTTCAGGTGGCACCTGTGCTTGTCAGAATATACATACAGTATTTTGTTATGTGTGCACTAGGGTTAGGGAAGAGTTAAAGGCATTGCGAGAAGATGTTAAGTTATATTTACATGACAAAACTTCACTATTAGAAAATTATTTAAATTCTTACATATGAGAAAATACTCAATATAAAATTACGGAGGAAAAAGAAATTTGTCTCTTATGTTTGACTTCTCCTGATACTGCCCTAACCTGAGGTGTAATTGCAGAATTATAGGTGTTAGAAGTAAGTAACTGGAGTCAATGCTCTGAAATTAGGAAATTTGGGGCTCTTGTGTTTATTTCCACATGCACATTTGTCCTGGTGTTATTTCTACAGCAGTAATTTTTGGGCTTGCCCCCTAAATTTATTATTTCTTTCAGTCTCTTAATGTTGTTGGGAGAATTCAACTTTGTCTCCTGAGAAAACATTGTGGTAGTTGTCCTGTGTCATCCAGAATTTATAAGTTATAGGGAACAGATAATCTTAGACTCTTTTATTTCTGATTATTATTTTCCTATTTTTCCAGTATTTATTGAGTTTATTGGTACATTTTAGGTATAAAGTACAGTTACATTCCTCATTGGGATCTGGTACCTTTACACGACAGGTCTTGGTTCTCATTTTTGCCCCATACCCCTGCCCTCCCTTCAGCCCCTCCTCTCCTCCCTATTTACAAATACTTTATTTCCATTTTTTCCTTTTATCATATTTTTTCTTTTCCCTTATTTCTTTTCCCCTACCCTTGAATATTTGTGTGTTTTAATTTCCTTTTAAGCATCCTCTTCACATTAAACTTTTCTCAGGCAGGGAAGCCTAGCAAGTGCAAGGCTATGAGTTTGATTCCCGATACCAAAAAACACAACATTTGACTTTTCTCTGTGGGATATTAAATTTAAATCTCACTAACCTAAAAAGGTGTTCATTTTCTCAAATGCTTCTTTATAGATTTTAAAAGTATGATAAAAATATAATTAAAATACCACACTAGAAAATATTAATTACTCCTATATTCTTGAAAGAGTTTGCCTTTCCTATTATTTCCTCAACTATATGCAAGGAAATTACTTATTTTTATATTATTCGTTTTTAAAACTTTTGTTTAAAAACCAACTAGAAGTCAGGTGTGATCAATGATGCCTATAGTCCCAGGCATGGGACTCTGGGAGGCTGAGGCAGGAAGATTACAAATTCAAGCACAAACTGGGAAAATACGCAAGACCCTATCTCCAAATAACAACAACAACAACAAAAACAGCTGGGGTTGTAGCCCTGGGTTCAGTCCCCAGTATGGCAAAACGAAACAAAATGACATAAAAGTCTAAAATCATTTCAATAAAAAAGAATGTATTTTTCTAAAATGCCACTTCATTAAATCACACAAACTAAGAGGCTGAGCGAGGAAATATCACCAGTGAAGAATATCTTAGTCAAATAACATTTTTTTTTCTGAGAAAACCCTTTGTCTTGTGCTCAGAGGAACAGCACAGCATCCACACATGTAAATCATTGCTGCTTATGAACCCCCTGAGAAACAGAGAGCTAAGCCCTCACTCTGTGGGAACCCCCAGCTGAAATTGTAAACAGCAGGCTTGGAAGAGTTTGTGCTCACTCTTCCCTGTTGGCTTTGGAATTTGATGAAAGATTTGTTGGCCTCCTTAGAGCTTTCCTCACAGTAAAAATCCTTTAAACCAAACCTCGAGAGAAGATTTTTAATTTACAAAGAGATCAAGCAAGTGTATGGGAATCAAAGTAGAGGCAAATAGCAGAAATTTCATAATGGCAGAGAAGTAAACCAAAACATATTTCATTGGTGTTTGGTTCCGAGTGACTGAAAGTACCATATGAGGCTGTTATTATTTTTCAAGGGAAGTGTTTTTCAAAGAAATGGCTGGAATACTTTTTATGAGAACTTCGGCTGAATTTTGCTATGTTACAGCACGTTAAGCTGGCTTTCATAAGAATGCTAAAAAGATAACTGAAGTTGGGCATGGTGGCATAGTCCTGTAATCCCAGCACTCTGGGAGGCTGAGGCAGGAGGACTGCAAATTTGAGACCGGCAACTTAGCAATACTTTGTCTCAAAAAATTACCAGTCTGGGGATATAACATGCTCTATGTAAAGGACCTGAATTTAATCCCCAGTATGGGTGGTGAGGTGGGGAGAGGTACACGAAACTAACAGTGCCACTTAAAATTGATATAACTTTAAGGCTGTCTGCGTATATTGTTCAATACTAAAGCTGCTGTATGTGTATAATTGCTGGGCCTTCTTTGCTGACAGTTCCCGACCATCTTTACATCCGAATACTGTGCTTCTTCAGGGTTTTTTAAGGCACAATTATGAAGTAGTTGGATATCACCGCTTCCTGCTCCCTCTACCTCTGTAAGGGGTACTACTCCTGACAGGTACCCAGGGTACCTGTTCCCTACAGGTCTCTTGCTTCCCTACAAACCCGTGTGAAATGGCAAAATTACTACCCTCCTTCCTCAAAGAACGCATTTCCTTCTGTCACCACTAGGTGACCCACCCAGCCAATAGAAATAAGATAGCACATATTCTATCTCTGTTTCTTATTTTTATCCCTAGAAAGGATGGAATATATCAAAGCTTTAAGCCAAAGTACTAACTCATGCTGAAATTCCGAGCCATCCAGAGTGGGTCGCACGGGCCGTTGGCCTTTAATCCTCATTTGACATCAGCCGTATCCCTAGCAGGTCTACCTCGAAGGGGGTCCGTTCCGGGAAGAGGATTGGTGGCAGGGAGCTGGACAGAGTAAAGAGAAAGGCCGTGTGATGGTGTGGTCAGGCTTATTACGTCTGTGCGAGACCCTGATAGAAAGGGGAAGATCTTGGAGCTCACTAGACATGATGGCCTCACTCTTGTGACCTTGTCATATCAGCCTCTGGTAAAATGTAGCGTAACCTAATTCACTGAAAAATGCTCTGCTGAATGTACAATTCCTAAGTTTTGGAATATTTTCCATAAAAAGCTTCAGCGACTATATGATTCGGCCCCCTAATGTGTTTACTCTTTTTTTTTTTGTTTCTACAGGATGTTGATAAATGGTCTTTTGATGTATTTGCCCTAAATGAAGCAAGTGGAGAACACAGCCTGAAGTTTATGATTTATGAACTGTTTACCAGATATGATCTTATGAACCGCTTCAAGGTCAGAAATGTGGAATGAAAATGAGATGCTCTTAGAATTAGTTATTCAAACAAGAATGAAAATGTAGAACATTAAGCATTAACCAGTGCCTTTTAGAATGTTTCTAGTCAGCATGTCACAGAAGCATGGGCTGAGGTCACCTTGCGGTAGAATCATTCAGTGTAGCACACTGACCTATCGGTGTACACACCTGGAGGGGCTGGGGCCAGGAAATAACAAAATCCTGACAATGCCTGAGCTCTTCACAGAACACTCCTGTAGGGATTGGAAGCAATGAATCAAAGGAATATGATAGATCTCTATTCTTCTTAAAAAGTAGAAATAACCTATATTGGCAGGTTTTCTTAAACTGAAATTATAGGGCTTCCAATTAACTTCATTTGGAGCCCTCTAAGCAACAGACTTGACCCAGTCTTTTGAGCAGTCTGCAACTTGCAACTTGCATCACTTTCTGGAGAATCACAGTATTATTAGAGGTAGAAAGGACTGGGAGGGTGTCCATTTTAACCCATTCCTACTACAGATAGGAAAACTGGACTCCATCAGTTATAATTGGAAATTTTTACCCTTTGAAGAACAAGCCCTCTTACCTGACTCTAGAAGATATAAAAAGTTGAAGCTTTCATTTCATCCCTCTGAGTTACACTGGGGATTGCAATACTTTTCAGGATCGAAAGCTAACACATTGGTGACATGGTTTTTCAGAACAATCCACATTCAACTTAAATAAATTACTGTCCACATCTGACTGCATTCAGCTGTCATCCCTACGGTCCCATCCTAAATGCCGTACTTGTGTTGATGTGGTGAGACTCTTCTGGCCAAAATAGAATCACAATTATTATTTTCCACAGATTCCTGTTTCTTGCCTAATAGCCTTTGCAGAAGCTTTAGAAGTTGGTTACAGCAAGTACAAGAATCCGTATCACAATTTGATTCATGCAGCTGATGTCACCCAAACTGTGCATTACATAATGCTCCACACAGGTATCATGGTAAGAAAGCCTTTGTGACTGAAGTTTGTTAGTTTGGAAACATCAAATTCTATTCCTCTGTGCTCCTATTGTCTCCTTAATGTCCCAGAAATATAAGTAATGATCTTTTGGATTTTGAAGGTTATTTGTTATATGTGTTTTCTCAAAAAATATTTTAACTTAGTGCCAAAAAAAAAAAATACCAGAAGAGTCTTAGTTACCTTCTCATCAATGGGATCTAATACCCAATGTGCATAACTGAAAGGACAAGAGGTTTATCTTGGCTCATGGTTTCAGTGTGTGACGGGCAGGATCAGATACTGAAATGTCGTGGTGGAAGGGCCTGCCTTGGAGTAAAGCTGCCCATGTCATTGTGGCCAGGAAGCTGAGGGGGAGGAAAGGGGCCTCGTCCAGGTCACGTGCTGTGTGACCACCTCCAGCCACACCCCACATCCTGACAGTGCACACAGCTAGGGAACTCCTTTGTGGACAACTCTGCTGATGAGCCCAGCACCCCCACGATCCATTCGCTTTCCAAGTACATGAGGCTTTTGGGGGACACCTCAAATCTAAACCATAACAACTAACAAAACTATATTATTTTCTAAAACTTGAGCTATCGAATGTTTTATGTGTAAATTCTCTTTCTTATGGGAATCAACAGGAGGGACAAAGGTTACCCAGAGAAAGTCTTCAGAATGAAAGTTATACTGCTCTTCCATTACGTATCATTTTCTCCAAAAGCAATCTTAGGAGCTTTCTCTCTTACTTGCATTGTGAATCACAATCAAGTCCTAATGGAATTTGGGGAAATTATTCATGTGAAATTTATCAAATGCTCTTTCTTCTTATTTACTTCTGAATGAGTCAGTTCTTATGTCTTAGAGCTCAGGATGACTCCCAGAAGGTGGAAAGGAAGGAGCATCCTTTTCTCCTGAAGGTTCCAAACCTTCAACAGGATGGGCACCACATGAGATCCTCAAATCTTAATGTCTTCCTGGATCCTCATGTGCCATTCTGGGCTGAGGTGAGGCAGTGCCACGAAATGCCTTCAAATGGAGTCTTTGCCAAACTCTGTAAATCATATTGCCTGACTTTTCAGATTTCAGAAGCCAGTGCCTTTCTATGGCAATAAGTCATTGGCATTTAGGTCTATGTAACTTGGGGCTCTGAGATCCTCAGTACCTCAGCATTCTGCTGCAGAGATTGTATTCCTAACCTGCTTCCAAGCAAATCCCCTAGGGCTTTAGTGTAGCATCCTAGAGAGCTGGAAAACACATAATAGGTACAGTATTCTCTGAGGTTAGCATATATCAAACAATTATCTGCACATCATTTTCCTCCAAGAATCCAGCTGTGTTGCTTAGGACACACACCCATTTCCTAGGATCTATCCATCAGTTTCTCATAAACTGTCTATTCCTGTTTTTTTCTTAATCTCTTAAATTTTGCAAACTTGAATGTCTTGGACTCAGATCCCACTTCTGCTACAAGTTCCAATTCATCTACTGTTCAAGAAAAAAGAAAAAAAATCCAAGTGTGATGGTGCACACTGGTAATCCCCACACTTAGGGAGGCTGAGGCAGCAGGATCACAAGTTCAAGAGTTCAAGTCCCACCTGTTGAGACCCAGTCTCAAAGTAAAAATAAAATAAAAAAATAAAAATAAAATGGATGGGGATGTACTTTTCCTAGTACCAGAAAAGAAAATATAACTTGTTACTGTCTTTCAAGGGGTTGAGGTTAGAAGAGTTCCAACCCAAAGACTCATTTGGGGTCTCTCCAGTCACAAGCTATGGGGAGGACGCCAGTGGTCATGTGCCCACAGAGGTTCACTCATCTGGCTGGCAGTTGTTACAATTGTTTGGGAGCCAGGCTGGGAGTTTAAGAAATTTTTTTGGAATTTCACCGCAACACCATAGAAATAATACAGCCTATGACAAAATTAAAATCTTTTTAAAAAGTGGTTCGAAGTAGTACATTTAAGCTCCTTGACAGGTTCTCGTTCTAATGTTCCTGCATGTGCATACACATGCACAGAAATTCTTTTACAGCATTTTGGGGTTTAATAAGGGTTCATTGTCACAGCTGATTCTTAAGCCCTTTTCTTTCACTTCGTTTGATTTGCGGGGTATACTAGTGTGAACACAAAGGACTGTCACACTGGGCAGGTGCTTCAGTATCTTCCTGATGAGAGTTGCTTGTTTTTTGCCTTCTAAAGCCTTTGTCTTGAACTGGAGATGGTGAGGTGATTTTTATTTTAAGTTCTGGCATTTCTATTCTCTTGAGTTTTATGGCTTTGAAAAACTTAACTAAAAAAAATCATATAAATTTTATTCTACAATGGCAACTGAACTTGATTAGGTTTCCTCAGAGCAAGATGAAACAGAAAACCAGGGCTGACTTCAGTGTAATAAAACATCTGCTTAATTATAAAGTCAGATGCGAAAATACATGTCACTTCAGGTGGGGAGGCAACTAGAATTTCATCTTAAAATATGTTTCTCCTCAAGTACATTTTTGTTTTGTTTTGTTTGCAACAAGTGTAAAGGCAGTCAAATAAAAATCTCCTATCTCAGCTTCAGAATCTCTGATCTGAAGGTGATACTGAAGAGATGAGGGCTGTCATACTTGTAAGTAAATAGAGAAATTCAAATCCACATTGTGATTTTACTCTCAGATTTATAATGAAGACTCAAGAGAGGGCCTTCCTTAGTGATTCCATCTTCATGGAAGATGGGGGAATCTGGTCTAGCTGGCACAGTTCCAAAGGAGTTGAAGTCATTAGCATAGATCACAGAGCCACTCTCGGAGGAAACTTATCAAGTATAAATAAATGTACCTTCCCCTGTTTCCAGGATTGGCATGGAAACATGTTTCTGATTTTATTCATTCTTTTGAAAAAATGTATCAGTGGGCTCTTTCCTCACCCATTAGTTTGGTGGTTAAGAAAACAGTGTGGCTCTAGACCTTTGGTTTTGTCTAGTACCAGAAAAATGCATTTAAACTAAGGAGAATAATGACAATTTTTACAATGCATGGTAAAAGGGCAAGCGAACAAATTAGCTGATGTATTGACTATTTTGTCAAACCTAGGCTATACTCTGAGCTTGACAATTTGGTGAAATTTGTTCTAACAAGCTTTTTTAATAGACGGAATGGTGGTTGAAGGTGAATATTAATCTCCATGCATACAAGTGTGTTGGTTCTTTGAACCAAAAAAGCATCATAGAAATATTCATTTAGCTAGAGCTCTTCAGTCCTTTCTCATCCTTTGGATTTGGTATCTGGACACAGCTGCTTCATTTAGTGTTTGGGTTGATGCTCTGCTATTTTAGGATGGCCTTATCAGCATGACATTTAGAGTACTCTGGTAGCAGCCCAGCACTGTCAGGTGACTGCTGCATCTTGTCACCTGCAAGATGTCCTGAGAACTCTTGCTGCACAGGGACAGTGGAGAAGCCTGTGTGCCTGTTTGTAAGATCATAAGGGACACCACTGAGCCCAAAAGCTGCGTAGAGAGGATGATACTGGTACAGTTGCTGGCCTCCTCCTTTCACCTATTGTCACTTGAATAACCTGCAGCCCTGCACCAGGGTGACAGTGATGTGCAGAAGCAATCCATTTGCTAAAGAGCCAGTGCTCCTGGAGTGTGGCCAGGCCACCTCCACCTGTCTCTTTAGATGTGACATCATTTCCCGGCCTTGGCCAGAGAGCACTTGCATTTGAGGACTCTTGGCAGCTTCTTCTAATAGACTCAGTGGTGCTGGTGGGGAGGTGGGAGGGAGAGGGGAAGCCCCGAAGTAGTCTCCCACACTCGCAAAAACTCAGTTTTTCTCCCATCAATCTACAAAAACATGTGGCACTATGTCTCTATTCCACAAACTGCATGGGCATTTTTTCTTATAAACCGCTTCTCATATGACACTATTTAGAAGAGAAAAAGAAGCCTGGTCTTCGGAGATATAAATTTGAAACCATTCTGTCACTTCCTAACTCACCATCTCTCTACCTCGGTTCTCTTGTCACTAAAATATAATTAATACACCCTCATAAAAAAGAAGGTAATAAGGAGTCATTAAATCTTACCTGTAAAGCACCCAACCTTTTATCTGAAATAAATAGCTATTAACATACATCCTGTTAGAAATTATTATTACACACAGGTTTTCTATACTGGTGAATCATGATGAACTACCTGAGCTTATTCAAAAAGAGAGAAAAAAGTCTCTAACTCCATAACACACACACACACACACACACACACACACAGACATTCAGATATAAAAATCATGTCTTAGGTTAAACCTCTCTTAGCTTTTACCCATTCATGTATCCAGTTAAATTAATTGCTTTTGAAACCTTAGAAGAATGTGTTCAGATGTTGCCTCCCTTGAGCAATGAATGTTATCATGGCCCACAGAAGGAACAGAAATTTTGGAATAATTTTTAGATTGAATTCCTGCTCTGCAATTAGATGGCTTTGTGACCTTTAGCAAGTTGGTACTCTTTTTTAGGATTCAGTTTTGTTGTCAGCAACATGAAAAATATTTACCTAGTATATAAGGCAGCTTTGTCATTGCTGGGACAAATTACCTGACATATAAAATTTAAAGGAGAAAATGTCTATTGCGGCTCAAAGTTTCAGTTTCCGGCCATGGTCAGCTGGCTTCAAGACACAAGGGTGTAGTGGAAGAAAGTAGCTTGGTCATGGCATCCAGTAAGCAGACGGGGTGAAAGGGCCGGAGAGGAAGGTCCACGAACATGGCACACACCAAAGACATCCCCACCTGCTTCCTCCAACAAGGCCTGACTTCCTAACAGCACATGCAGTTAGGAACTCATCAACAACGTTTAGTGTCCCATCTTCCAAAAGCCCTTCTTCTGAAAATATGAGCCTTTTGGGGGATTTTTTCTTCCATTAAGTTTATTGGTACATTTAAAGCAAACAATATGGTTACATTTATCCTTGGGATCTTGTATCTTTACATGATATACCTTGGTTCTTTTTTTTTTCCCCAT